ATGCAGTTATCTATCTCTTCATTCACCACGACAGGATCGATCGTACAATAAGAATACTACTCACCCCATCGACATTGGAACTCTTTGTTGACTGCAGAAAATGGACACAGCGTTTATAGCAGTGTCCTGAGTGCGGTTCTTAATGCACCTCATCTCAGCACCACTTACAGTGTTCTTCAAATCTCACCCCTGCTCTTTTTATTAACGTAGGTATAAGAGTAACTAACACTGAATGATTTAAAATGGTTAATGAAAGTAGAACACTGTTTACAATAATGAGAAGGAAACAAACTTCTTTGGTCATGTGATGAGAAAAGGAGCACTGAGAAATATCGTGATGGCTGGAAAAATCACTGGTAGAAGGCAGACCAGGAGATATGATATTGGATGGCTTAAGACAGTGGCATGGAGGAGTATCATCAGTAGAATTGATCTAGAACACCAAAGGCCGAGATCTGTGGCGACGCATGAACGCCACTGCCTGCTGGCAAGGCACTTGATGATGATGATGATGATGAGAGTATAAGAGGTAGGGGAGGTGGAGGGGACGGTATTGCCCCGGTATTAATATCGGTGCATTTCCGGTGTCCCTGACCGGTTCTGCTTTTCGTTGGCTTTGATATCTTTCCATGATAAAAATCCGTGCAGCTGTGTCCACAAACCGGTGTACTAACAACTCCACCAACGTACAAGTGGCAGTAATCAATGAATCCACCAGGACAAATTCTTCAGTCGATCACAGAGACAAGCACAGGCAGAGTGGTTCGCTGACAGAGAGAACCAGACACATTAACCATCACTGTAGCATTAAATAAAGGACAAGACAGGCGTGTCAGAAGGCCGACCGGGTACAGTGCTACCAGTGCCAATACTAATGCGGATTGATTGCTGGCCTATTGTACCGCCCTTACTAGCATTGGTATCGATAGTTCTTTGAGCATCGTCAAGGTTGATGGCCGATCACGTGAGAATCGGTTACTTTAAAAGCACAGAGTGAATCAGAGTGCAGGAGGAGTATTTTCAAAAAAAAAAAAAAAAAAAAAATCACATAGAAAGTGAACACGGTTCTAGAGATCGGGTCATAAGAAGGATTGAAAACAATGCAGAGTGAGAGGCAAACAGACAGAAAGACAGACATACATATATTTAGACGGACTGGTGGACAGACAGACAGACAGACAGACAGACAGACAGACAGACAGACAGACAGACAGACAGACAGACAGACAGACAGACAGACAGACAGACAGACAGACAGACAGACAGACAGACAGACAGACAGACAGACAGACAGACAGACAGACAGACAGACAGACAGACAGACAGACAGACAGACAGACAGACAGACAGACAGACAGACAGACAGACAGACAGACAGACAGACAGACAGACAGACAGACAGACAGACAGATAGATAGATAGATAGATAGATAGATAGATAGATAGATAGATAGATAGATAGATAGATAGATAGATAGATAGATAGATAGATAGATAGATAGATAGATAGATAGATAGATAGATAGATAGATAGATAGATAGATAGATAGATAGATAGATAGATAGACAGATAAATAGATAGATAGATAGATGGCAGTGATCAAAGCTATCTATAGAGTGAATTTCAGATAATGTTGAGTGTATGTAACAACACAATCTGTATTCCGTTTAGATCACCACTAACTACTGAGGAATACAAATAAATGTTCTAGATCGACCCAGCTTTCAATGTATACTAAGTCCAGTACTGGGGAGTAAGGGCGGCCGGCATGGTGGTGACCGCATCCCCCACCAAGAGCACTACATGTTAAATAGGTCTGAATTCGTGGAACACAACTCTTTACTTTTTCGCCCATCCGGATATTTGATTAGTTGTCTTCCCCATTTCTATGTTCAGTTAATTATACGATGGTCTCCCCATTTACACACCACCGGTTAAAGGTCAACTCCATTGATAGGTTGGTTGGGCTAGTCTATCGTGGTCGAGGTTATGGGTGTCGCAGTCTGTTGCTGTCTTGCGTTTACTATTTTATTTACGAGAAAGAGACGGCCTGTGACATAGGTTTTGTCATTCTCTAGGTGGGTTGTGTGTTAGACCCAGTATCTAAATGTTTTAGAAGTGTTAAAAGCTTTGGCATGGTGAAATATACAATACGCGGTATCAGCGAGAGTGCGGAATATACCCGTGATCTTGTGTGAAAGTCGAATCGCTCAAGGCCGACCTATCAGACGTGAGGTTGTATGTAGGTCGTCCAATCGGAAGCGAGCTAGTGTGTAGCGGTGTGTAAATGGGGACACCAGCGTAAAATGTACCCTATATTCTCATCAATTATGTTAGTTTTAGCCAAGTTCTCGGGTCCGTACCTTTCCATAACCGCCGCTCCCCGTTCACAATCACAACACTGACCGTCTATGTCCAATTTCTCAAATCAGTTTGCGGATTTGGCTACTGGAAGACCCCCACCCCTGCCCCCTCCCCCCAAAGGACCCTTTCCAACGCCTTTAGGAGTACTGGGTATATAGTACAAGTCAGATAGTTATTTTATAGTCAGAGCAGCAAGGTTTGGAACAACTGATCAACATCATTGCACACGGGTCATAATCTATAAGTGCTCCGTTCTTCTTCTTACTTAAGTCCAAAGAAGCCCAGCACAGTGTATAGGCACTGCAGCACCGGCAAGGATCCTGAAATACTTTGGGTAGATTTTCAACTCAAAATTTTGGCCAGGCAGCGCCGTTAGGCTACTCTTCGATTTCCGACTGCCAAGGAATTTTTTACGTGCGCAACAATGCACACAGACGTCCGATCTCACTACCCAGAGACCAGGGGGAATTACTAGAAGCCCAAGTGCACATGAAAAGACCCCAGTCCTTACAGGTGATTGAACCCGGAACCTCTAGCACTCGAGGCGGACACCACAAGACTACGTACCCCCCCTTTTCCGCGCGTCTAGTCGCTTCACGAATGCGGCTTTCTTTGTCATCACTATTATTTTAATGTGCTTCCAAAGATTACTGATAAGCAGTTACGAGTCTATACTTTCATCACCAACACTGAACCACTTAGTTACTTTGTAACTGTATTGTGGGATCCCAGTATAAGTGTAGCTTTATGGCTATAAGAGAGCCGCACTGGTGTAGCGGCTAGGTACTCGCTTGCCGATTAGAAGGTTAGGGGTTCCGGTCCTAACGAAAAAAAAAGTACATTGGCTCTCGGGCCGACTCTTGAGCGGATAAAAGGTAGTGTCCTGGCAAGTAAAGGCAGTCGGAGTAATGCTGACCACATTACCAACCATGTGCCGATTAGTCTATAAAATAGAGGCCTAGCCCTGTAAATCCAAGAGTCGTTTACTTGTACTGACTTTATATGGCTATAGAGCTAAACGGGATTTGTACCAGTGTGATTCTCATCCTTGAGATGTTAATCCTATAGATTGAAATTATAAAGGCAATAAATGAATATTGTCTATAGCTGTATTTTCAAGTTCTACTGTTTACACAATTCTCGACTTTTTTTGTTTATAGCCTAAAGGGTGCAATTTTGATGTACAAGATGAATGTTTGGAAGGGCCGAATGTAAGACGGGCCTGCGTGCAAAATTTGTGACCCTTTAAAAAAATGTTCGTTCGTTAGTTCATTCGTAGTTTTCTTCTTCTTCTTCTTCTTCTTCTTCTTCTTCTTCTTCTTCTTCTTCTTCTTCTTCTTCTTCTTCTTCTTCTTCTTCTTCTTCTTCTTCTTCTTCTTCTTATTTTTCTTCTTCTTCTTCTTCTTCTTCTTCTTCTTCTTCTTCTTCTTCTTCTTCTTCTTCTTCTTCTTCTTCTTCTTCTTCTTCTTCTTCTTCTTCTTCGTGTTCACCGGCTGTAAACTCCGGTGGGAAGTTCTGGTTGTTCGTCCACCTTTGGACATTAGTCTTGTTTCAGAACCTGAGTGTTGCGTGAACATCTGTTGTACAGATCTGATTTACTTGTATGCGGATTGTTGGTTCCTTGCCTCTCAGGCAGATGAACTCCGACTTCGAAGGAAGCACCCAATTAGGCGACTCTTACGACATGCTTGTTGGGGAGGCAGTGGATCTATTCTTGTTTTCCCCACAATGGGTTCTAGAACCCACACGGGAAATTCGTAATCTTACACACACGTTCTTTTTGTCTTTCCAGACTACAGTGTTTTAATAAGCTCTGAGGGGCGAGAAATAAGTTACTCATCTGCATAGCACATCGCCTGGACACTGTTGCAGAAAACATGTGCTGCACATATACACATACATACATACATACATACATACATACATACATACATACATACATACATACATACATACATACATACATGCATGCATGCATGCATGCATGCATGCATGCATGCATGCATGCATACATACATACATACATACATACATACATACATACATACATACATACATACATACATACATACATACATACATACATACATACATACATACATACATACATACATACATACATACATACATACATACATACATACATACATACATACATACATACATACATACATACATACATACATACATACATACATACATACGTAAAACATAGTAAAAGTAAGTAAAGGTCCCTTTTCGACGCCTATAGGCGTAAAGGGCATATAAGGCTAGAAGTATATTTTTTTAAACCAATCGGCACAAGATCGGTGATGTGGTCAGCATCAAGCCGGCCGCCTTTACTTTCCGGGGTGGCACCCGGTAAATACTCAAGGCAAGGACGACTTGGCAGTAAACGTCATTTTAAACGAATAGTCCGGCTCCTCCAGGGAGCAAACCACGTAAAATATACAAACATAATAATTACATATATGCACATACGTGCACGCACACATACATATAAACATACGTAAAAATATACATACATGCAGAGATTAATATACAGGCATAAAAGCATCCACACAGACAGACAGATAGGCAGACAGACAGAGAGACAGATAAGTCAAACAAACAGAAACAAATGTCGTGTACTCACCAGAACGATGTGGCCCGTTGAGATGTCCATGTTTGTGGCGGCCGGCTCCTCGCTCCTGAAAAACGGCAAGAAAATGATCTCAGTTCTGGGGACACCTTGTAGACACATGGATGCCAGTTTGACGCCGAGCACCGGGGACACCATCCCTGCCCAGCTGCTGTAAGCTGCTGGCTAGCGGAATTCTCATCCGATTTTGGGACAGTCCGTGACAGTTCAACATAAACCGGTCATATTTTATCCCTGACAACACAGATCAGTCAGATTTTATTCCTGACAACATAGATCAGTCATATTTTATCCCTGACATCACAGGTCAGTCATATTTTATCCCTGCCATGTATGCCCTTTATTTATCGTTAGAAGGGTGAACAATTCAAAATCAAGACATCTGGCTTCCTCACTGCTCTCTCTCTCTCTCTCTCTCTTAACGACCAGCCGTTGCCTCAAAGCATCTTATGAAGCACAAATTCCGATCTCCAGCGACGAGCAGCGAGAATCTCTCCAAGAACTGCACTCGTGAACCAAAACGAAACAGTCCAAGAATCGAACATAAGACTACAGCGCAATGCAGACCGCACAACCAGATATCCTGTGAGATACTCCCCTACTGCTGGATTAAAATTCAAAATTAAGATAACAAGATGGACATTTCATCGAACTACTAGTGGCACCATCCGAGCTGGACATCTTCGATGGCTGTTGACGTTGAGGACGGAGCAGTTATGGGAATGTCTCAAATGCTATGGTGTCAGTTCTTAGCCCAGCACTTATCAGGAATAAAAAGATGCTGATACAGCTAACAGAAAAAAACCACATGTAAAATTCGCTGTCTCCACAAGACCAACAACAACACTAGACGAGACAAGGTTACAAACACCAGCATTTGACAGAATGTTGGAATGAGACCACGTCTTGATTACATTACAGGCAAAGAAGGAAATAGTTCGGCCATCTAATGAGAATGCAGCCAGACCAGTCTGCATATGCAGTTTTCTAAAGGAGAACATCGGGGAGGAAGACGAGAGGAAGACCAAGTCAGAAATGGATGAATAGATGAACAAATCCATCACTGAAGCCACCCGAGAAGCGCAAGACGAATACAGAAAACAACGGCACTGGGCTACCACCTGGTATCAGTGAAACGACAAAAAAGAAAAAAAAAGAAGAAGAAGAAGATTTAGCTAACAATATGCCTGCTTTATCATCATCACCATGTGCCGTGTCGGAAAGCGTAGGCTGTCATGTTTCACCATCTCAGATCAGTTCAATATTTTCGACACCCCAGTTCACCTGGCCAGGTCATGCAGGTATTTATCTCCCTACCTTTGCACTGCTCTCTTTCCACCAATCTCGCCAGTTGTTACTAAATTCCCGAGTCTATTCCTTCTCAAAATATGTGCACAGAACACTGTCTGTCTACGTCTAACTCTTCTTATAAGTTTACGACTTTTTTTCTGCTTCAGTATGGACTACTTCGTTTGTTTTTCTATCGTTCCTTGACATTCTTGACTTTTTGTATGTGCTGATGAAGGCCCCATAGCCGCAACGTTCACGTTTTGTTTGTATTTGTTATATTGTGAAGCTTGCTAATATACTTTTCGTTCGGTTTTATATCTTTTCTTGACATTCAGTATTCTTCTCATAAGCCATATCTCTGCCTCTAGTAAATGCTTTTCAGCCTGTCAGCCTATTGTCCATGTTTCACATGTAAATCTAAAACCTGTTTACACAAGCTATTGGCCGTTCAGTCTATCTCAACAGCAGTATTTGCTATTGATTGATACTGATTAATGATGGACAATCAAATGCCAATACAAATTGACTCAACAATTGTCCGAAAGATTAACTCAGTTATTGTCCCAAAGATTAACTCAACCAATGTCCCAAAGATTAGCGCAACCACTGTCCCAAAGATTAACTCAACCACTGTCCCAAAGATTAACTCAACCACTGTCCCAAAGATTAACTCAACCAATGTCCCAAAGATTAACGCAACCAATGTCCCAAAGATTAACTCAACCACTGTCCCAAAGATTAACTCAACCACTGTCCCAAAAATTAACTCAACCACTGTCCCAAAGATAAACTCAACCACAGTGCTAAAAATTAACGCAGTCACTGTCTCAAAGGTTAACTCAACCACTGTCCCAAAGATTAACTCAACTACTGTCCCAAAGATTAACGCAACCGCTGTCCCAAAGATTAACTCAACCACTGTCCCAAAGATTTTAACTCAACCACTGTCCCAAAAATTAACACAACCGCTGTCCCAAAGATTAACTCAACCACTGTCCCAAAGATTAACGCAACCACTGTCCCAAAGATTAACGCAACCACTGTCCCCAAGGTATTTTCCAAAGCCGCCTGCTCCTGAAATCGAAACCCGGTACGCTGAGATTGTGAAACGCATCGCTAATCCCTAAGCCATGTAAACATACGCCTAGAGAATACTTGAAGCTCATTCAAATTTAATGCTGATGATAACTGAGAGACTTTACATTTGGATCAACCAAAAGGGGGAATTGAAAGCAAGTGACAAGGATGACGAAAGACAATTAATTATTCATGAAACCCAAACGGAAGAATTTCAGATAGCCCTAAGGAAAAAAAAAAAGAAAATAGTTGAAATTGTGCCAGACAACACCGTTATGAAAGATGTAAACACTAACACTGAGAGAGTAAAAGAAACTTGAAAAAAAAAAAAAAAACAACCTTACAAGTGTAGTAGAAGTTATAATAACCAGGCAACTGCCTTGTAATCTGTAAATATTGTTGTCCCACTTTGCAGATAAACACAGGGTGACGTCATAATTAGAGTTTAACTCTTTCAGTACCAAGCAGCTCACCTTGCGTGCATTAGAGCTGTCTAACTTGCTATGCCTTTCTGAACAACTTGTGCTCTATCTAGCCGTACATTTGACCAGTTGTTACTTCAGCTACTTTGGTCTCATTGTGTTTTTATCCGAGCCTTTGTAGACCCAGTCATGCTCACTTAAAACAGCTAATCGATATTTAAGTTCTAATTCAGCCCAATCAAAGGAAATCCAGGAGTTCTCGGGAAAGTAAAATATTCTAGGGGAATTATGGTTTCACATAAATTTGATGGGGCAGTATCGAGAGAATGCCTGAGTGCTTCTGTACACCAGTGAGACTGAATCTTTGTCAGCCTCTGACGGCCTCAGCGACACCGACCACCCTAATCCTAACCCCAACCGATAACACCCCTAGAATATTTGATGTTCCTGGGAATTTCCGGATTTCCTTTGTTTTGGCTGAATTAAAACTGAAGTACCAACTAATCTCTAGGAATCTAGGAGTTTCAGAAACACATGTCTATGATTAAAAGAATTAAGTATGTCCGTCCCACATTTGACATGCACCACAGAGGATATATATATATATATATATATATATATATATATATATATATATATATATATATATTTACACACACACACACACACACACACACACATATATATATATATATATATATATATATATATATATATATATATATATATATATATATATATATATAAACAGGTTGGAACTTCAATTAGGTAACTAGTCACGAATAACGCGATTTAAAGGCGCTGCTATCGTCTGTCCATGGCTACAGAGAACGCCAGGGATTTACTTAGTGCAGCCGTCATGAGTGCCCCAAACTATAATTTCTTTGGAGGATGATATTTGGTTAACTGTCTTTTGAAGTAAATAAGGCAGGACGATGGGGGAATCATGCTGCTTGGGCAAAACAAGGGCTCTACAATACTGCACTGGCTGTTCCACAGAGAGGAGAGACTTCAATCTTGGCCCTTACTGGCTGTGACTCCCATAACTCTCTATAACACAGTATAACTTAATTGCAGGGACAGACGTAAAGGTGCTCGTGAAGAAGTTGAAAGAAAGCATTTTGCGGGATTGAGATCCAGGACGGCGTTAATCAGATTACTGAGTGTCGAGTTGGGAGCTCAGGTCAACATAGAAGATCCTATACTTGAGAGTTCAAAAAAACATTGCTCACTTTTTAAGTGACTGACTTTCTAACCCACTAGGACATCACACAAGCGATAATCACCCGATGACACAAAGTGCCACCATGTGGATGAGGATTGCCGTGGAGAGGTCCCAGAAACCGCGTTCAGACAATTGGCCATATTTATGGCCTGCCTATATTGCGGCCACTGGCAAAAGCCAGGGTGGGGCTTCGAATAACAAAAAATTTCGTCCTAAAAAGGACTAAACACCTATACTTTTTAAGTAGGTTTTGTCTGTTTATCTGGCAGTCTATTCACTACTCCGTTATCCTTTATATTACAGTTTTAGTTAGTCCTTCTGCCCATTTGTCAGTCCGTCAGTCTGTCCTTCTCTGTACATCGAAAACACAGCACCGTACGATAGTAAATGTTATCTTCCCTCAAACAAATCCCACAACTGAAAAACAGTTGTGGGTCTAATTACTTCTATGTCCATGGTACAGCTTCATTACGCAAACTTCCACACAAGGCAGATAATTCTTTAACAGTTACAACTTTCCCTTAGAAGCAACCAGCTTACTGCCCCTCTCAAAGAGGTCAATGCTGGAAGTGAAGCGGTCAATGAAATTATACACATGAGCTGACTAGCTAGAATGCCACATAACACAATCAGACCCCAACTGTCACGTGATGCGATAAGGGCGTTGTCTAGCAGCTGGTGAAACAAACTAACCCTGGGACAACGGAGGCCGACATGAGTGCTTGACAAAAAACAGAATCTTTTAACAAACTAGTGAAGCTCCTCATTATAACTTTCTTTTAGAAATAATACTTCATATTAAAATAGAGAACGCATGGACTCAAATGCAATGATGAACATTTATATATTAAACGATTCAGTATACATTTTGAATATTGAAATAAATTGGCTGCGCTAAAGCCATGAAAATATTCACAAGAAATGGGGAGTGTAGGGATCTGTCAGCTTTACGAAACATTGTACGACAAACGTACAGATAACTGAGGCGACAAGGTTTCAACAATAAACGTACAGATAACTGAGGCGACAAGGTTT